AAATTTTATTTTTAAAGTTCTGAAAGAGTCATTCTCTGTAGCTTCGGTCAGCCTAGAAAAGAGAGGAAGCCACTGTAACTCTTATAAAGATTCTGTGCCTGGTACTCTGGTGTTTCTTTCTCTCTCCATGGATGAGATGTGGGGGAGTTTTGGAGAAGGAATCTCTTGACTCCATAGCATCTTAGCCTCCTAAACCTCTTGGTGGAGAAAAAAAGACCCACAACAGGACCACCAGGGGCTTGGGCTCTCAGAGCAAGAGCCAAATCACCCAACGTCAGTGAAAGCTCTGTGTGCCACATTCACCAGCTCAACCCGTCAAAATTGGAGGCAGGATTTTCTTTCTGGGAATCTCTAATATAAGCCAGTGGTAAGACACTGAGCTTTGGCTGGCAATAACAAAGACATTTGTGAAGGCTTACTCAGGACAATACCACAGCTGGATGGTGAAGGAAGTGATGGAAACCACTCTGGGCTTACAAAATTCTCAGGCAACCAGGCTATTGGTGTGGTCTTCTCTCCCTGGGCCTACAACTTCTTCCCACTTGGGAGAGAAGAGGAGAAAGGAAACAGAGGCCCAGCAGGCCCCATTAGCATCCCTTTTCACTAACCCATAAAAAGCTTTGATCCAAGGAGAGGCCAGATCTTCATGAAAAATATACACAGAACATTCAGGACCCCCACTTCAATCCACAGACTCCCACAAGCATTGGTCCCTCACCTGTTAATGGAGCTGACGCTGGGCACTGTGTCATTGTCACATACTCGCTCTGCCAGCAGCCGGTCCCTGATCTCCCAGGCAAACATGGTGGGGTTTTGGCGTTTGTACTCAGCAATTTTTTCCACCACTTTGGGTGTGGCAACCTTTGGTTTAGATCCTCCAATTACCCCAGGCTTGATGCTTCCTGTCTCATAATACCTAGGAGGCAAGGAGAAAAGAGGTTAGCCATGAGGAGCCAGCAAAATACATGAACATGTGAAATATGGCTGGCGTGAACTGAGGTGTGCTACAAATGTAAATCACAAATCAAATTTTAAAAACTTGGTATAAAAAGTATAAATACTTCACTAATAATGTTTGTATTGGTTGTATGTTAAATAATTTTGAATATCATGCTAAATAAAATAGGCAATCAAAATTAATCATTTTTTTCACTTTTCTTCATGTGTTACTAAAATTTTTAAATTTAATATATGACACATTTCTTTTGGACATCTGTAGTAGGATGCTACATATTGACAAACATTAATTCATATTTATCTACCATTTTACAGTTTACAAAGAATTTTCAAGTCAGTTTTCCCATTTGATCCTTAACAGTTCTAATGTACTAAACTGTTTCGAATGAATGAAAGAGTAAATGAACAAATAAATGGCTAGTTCTCTATGACATAAAAAAGAGATCCATAGCAGATAAATGACTTCTTCGATGTCACCCAAGAATGAGTGGCCAAGCTAGAACTACAGGCATAACTCTTGAACTAAAATTTCCCCAAGAAAGTGATGTAGACCTTTAATTTTGCCAGCCAATCTTTCCCTTAGCAGAATCCCCAAGATCCTGGAAAACTGTCAGCTAAAATGCAACTTATTTTTCCATAAAGAAAAATAATAACCCTGGTGTAAAATTAAAAGGAGCGCTAGATTCCAGAACTAATAGAAAATGTATTTTGGAAGTCAAAGCCTAAGCAACCAGAAAACCAACCCCAAGTCTCCTAGCTCTTCTAGGGACCTGCCCTGAGGTAAGTGGCTGTTTCCAGGGACACTTCCATGCTATCAGCTTTTCCTCGTTAACGCAACTAGGATGTTAGTTTTTTACAGTGAAACTGAGACCAGGAAAGAAGAATGCCATACAAAGATCATCTCAGGGAGAAAAAAATAACTTGATGCTCTTTCTAAATATAAGCCATCACTGAATGTCTCTCTCAATATTTACAAAGGAATTTTGAGGGTCCTCTTCCAAAAGAGATTATCTTACAGTTGAATTTTTTTAATCAAAATATCTTAGAAATAAATAGAAACATTTTAATCTAACAAGAGCTTATAAGAGGTAAGGGTCTGAGGTGATTCTGGAATGGGTAAAAATGTTACCCAGGAACAATAATGGGTAACATTCACAGGTGCTGAAATTCTGGGGCTATTCTGGGTAGAGTTAAGTTAGTGAATATTCTAGAAGAAAAGAAATAATTGAGAAACAGTAAGCTGGAAGTAAAAATTCTGTTTTTCATTGAGAAGAGTGAGTCATTAAAAAATGTGACCATAAAGCAAACTTCAACCTATCCTTTTTTCATTCTGAAAAACTGTTGAAAACAATTTTCTGTAATTTGCTGGTAAATTATTTGTCGTAACAGGTTTTTCAAAATGTCCCAAGATTTTTTGCTAATAATCTAGAAAAGATCCAAATCCAGGCACACTGCCATCTCTGTAGACTCCAACTGTCCTGCCAATTCTGCAATAGAAAGTTAATTCTTACTGTAACTAGACCACCCACTACTTAGGCACAACACTCTACAGTTTATAGCGTTCTTCTTCAAATTATCTTAATTCTTACGCCAATCCTTTGAGGCCAGCAGGGCTTCATAGAAGGTGAGGTAAATGATCAGAAGACTGTCTCACCTTACTTCTGGAGGCTAAAAGCAGGGCCCCAGCTTTCAAACCCGACTCTGAATCCAGTGTTCCTCCCACTAGAGTAATTTACTACATTAGTGACCAAATTTTAAATTATAATAATGCTGATTCCTCGCAACTGAGATTTACTGTTCTACAGATATTTTCACGTCATCTTTAATTCATGCACTGAATGAACAGAAAAGGAGGAGGAGAAGGAGGAGAGGAAGAGGAAGAGGAAGAAGAAAAAGAAGAGGAAGAGGAAGAAAGCAAGAGAGCAAAGCCTGTTAGAACAGGGACAGTCTCAGGGCAGGAGTTACAGATACAGGCAATCCTGTATTACATATTCAAAATATCATCAAATAGGACTGCACCATTTGAACAGCAGGATGAAGGCCCCCCAAATACATGGCTGGCAGGTGACAGCAGGCAGAGTTCTGCACCCATCCCACCTGAGTAGTACCAGCCATGGGAGGCCGTGATCTTGCAATGAGAGACCGTCTCCTTTTTGACTGGCACATGGGGCAGGGTTCTGGAAGGCAGCACTGACACTCCTGAAACCCCAACTCGCAAGTGTGTCAAGTGAGGATTCAGACTTAATAACCCTCTTTTCATCTCAGCAAAACAGCAGTGCAGCCTTTTGGATCACAGACAAAAGACATGCAGCAGCCACCAACACGCAGTGTCCTCCAGTGCAGAAAGCATTGGTTTGGGAAGTAAGTGGGTGCTGGCAGTGGCTCTGACACTCTTTGGCTGTGTGATCTTGGCCAACTCACTTACCCTCTCTAGGCTTCAGTTATCCCACCTATAGCATAGTAGGAAGATGCTTGCCCTGCTTAAATTGTAGGGCTGTTGTGAAGACAAAAATATCAAATGGCTATTTAAAAAAGCTTTTGCAAAGCCTAAAATAAAGAGTACAAGTTGAGGATTAAAATGTGTTGTTTTTTTTTCTAAGTAACATACCACCCAATTCCAAATAACCAGGCTCCAATGAGAGAAGACAACAGCCAGGCTCAGAGTGGATTTCACCCAGCCTCACATGCCACCAAGTTGTGCCTCTCCAGCCCTTCTGCAGCCTTGTGCTCTGAATGCCCACACTCCTGGCAGACTGCCCACCTTCCTGAGGGGACAGGGGTCCTGCCTCCCTGCCCCAGGGATTTGCCTGCCTTGCCACACAGCCTCTGAGAACCACAAGCACCACATACCGCACACTGTTTACAATCTGTCCCATCAAATTCTTCAGTGACAAAAAAGAAAAAAAAATCGGTGGATGGAAGAGCCCCAGTTCAGAAATTCCCAGTCACACTGTTTTAGGGCTGAACTTGTTCCTTAAAAGGCAGTTCTAATTAGAGTGACATTTTGTCCACTGTAGTTCTTAGTTATGAAAATAATGAGCTATGAAATTCCAATTTATTGTTGACAACTTAAACGGCCAGGCACCGGAGCGGCGCATAACTTCCGAGTGCCACTCTACCTAGTGACAAATCTATTCTGGACCACGGGAGGCTGCTGCCAGGGCTTGGAAAGGTCCCTATCCCCCTTAGTCTCTATGGGACAGCACAACATAAGGACTCAGCATTTGGATGTCCCCTCAGAGAAAGGCTCCGAATCTCGAAGATTTCAAACAGCGAGCAAAATGTCGGCTCAGCAAAGATGTCTCAGCAAAAACAAAGGAAGGGCCTTCTTTCTCTTTCCCTCTCCCTCAGTACAAAGAAGCTTCGAAAGAAGATACATCTGAGACTCATTCAGCTCTCGAAGTCTGATGCTGAGATAGCCTAAAATATTTATTTTCTCTCTTTCTTATCTTCTTTGTTTCTTTATTTCTATTTCTCTTTTGAAAACCATTTTCTTCCCTGTTTTTTCTCTCTACATCCCTGTTTGCTAATTTCTTCCGATGTTCTCAGCTCTCACCATCCTGTTTAAAGCCACCGTCTAACAAGAACACTAGGCTGATTTTCTCTGAACTCTGGCTGGGGCTCATTTGCTAGCTGAGTGCTACACAGGGGCGGACCCTCAGTCTTCACAGCTGAGGTGGCCTGTGCTGGGCAGAAAGAGGAGAAAGAAACACGAGGATCAAGGACCCTACAGAGACTGCCAGACATTTGGCTCTGAAACTTCTTCCTCTGGCCTCAAGCAAGACTCAATAAGGTTATTTGACACTACTGCTTCTACCATCTGTGAGCATTTCTTGAATTCCAACAAATGGGAGGAAAACAGCAAGCGAAAGTTACAACAACGTCACTGACATACTTCAGAATGTTTACTTTTTTAATTCAAGTACCTGTCCTCAAATTATAAGGCAAACTGCAGCACAAATGTTATCTTGTGGCCTGAGAAAAGAAATAGAAGGCACTGACCAGCTAAGCCTGAGTATGCGCTGCCTACCAGGGAAAACCTAGAAGAAACTGTTCCTGAAAACAAATGTATGACTGTTTTCAAGGGGTACAAGGAGATTTAGATGGCCCAGGAATTCTTCAGGCTTCATTACAATCTATGAACCAACAAGGATTGGTCAGATAAACCTGGGTCCACTAGGTTTCCTCATCTTAAAACATGCTTCATTGGATCACGCTGAAGCTATGGAGAAAATAAACAGCAACACAAAAAGGCTATACAGCCCTCTGGGAGAATCGTCATTGTTAGTATTTTGCTTGCAGCAAATCACTGGGTCAAGTAGCAACTTTCAAATGTCAGATCTGAGAGTTAGCATTTGCCAGTTTCTTTTTCTCCTTTCTAATTTAATACATCCTTCAGATGCCTGTCACTACAAAGAAGACAAAACATAAGAAAATGTTGTAGCTCAACCTAATAAGGCTAATAATAACCCAAAACTGAAAATGATGACTGGCTTTTGAAAGTAGAATAAGCTTTTTGAAAATATTAAAATGAAACATTGAGGACTACAGACATAGCTCAGTGGTTGAACATGTGCTAACCATGTGCAAGACCCTGGTTTCCATACCTCTGGGGAAAAAAATGAAAGAAGAAAGAGAAGAGAAGAGAAGAGAAGAGAAGAGAAGAGAAGAGAAGAGAAGAGATGAGAGAACAAGCATTGAACTCGGAGCTCTGGTTGTGTGATATTATTACACAGATTCTCCATCCAGTCCTGCCCAGGGTCCTGAGCTCACCTAAGATATGTAGGGGAAATTTCTGAATGCTTCTTACTCTTGTGTTCTTCAGAATAAATAATTTACCCAGCTTTCAAAAACCAGTCCCTTCTCGGTCACCATATTCCACATGTTACAGGAGTTTTCCAGGACTACTTTGAATCAGATGGTCTCAAAAAGACTTTCCAAGCTCTACAGTGCTGTGCACATAGGGCAAAATGCCACAGCGATCCTCACTATGACATGGGCACAATGGACAGTTGCTGGTTCAACTTTTAGGTCTTTATTTGAAAGAACAAGGCACAACCTGGAACTCCTGCCTTTACCTGCCAAGAATTTTGCTGACACAACCATGGCTGACCCGAAGTTGCCTGGAGATGTCGCAGGGCCTGACACCTTGATGAGCAAGTTCCACTATCCTTTGGCGGACTACATCCGGGAGTGGCCGTCCATTCACAAAAACCCCCCCAAGCTGATTCACTCCTCCATGTCCTGAAACAGATCAGAAACAAAAGGCAAGGGAAGGGTAGTTAGAACCAGTCACATAGTAGAAACCCAAAGTCCCTCTGTTCACAAATAGCCAGCAGGCTGGGTGTCTTATGTGCCTGAAATCCAATTGTACAACCTATAGGAGGGCCCTAGATTGCTTTTTAAAATTAATCTTAGCCTTTGTCCATCTGCAGCCATGCACTTGAGCTGTTCATAGCAAGGTTTACCATATTGTTCTTTTAATTACTAGTATTTTCTTCATAAATTTTTTTAACAATGAAATACAGGAAGACCCCAATCTATACTTACTACAGGTTATACAGAGGTACAACTTACTACATGATGCTTAAGTCTAAGGAAGATCATGCAAGGGGGGAAAATTACATTTTTAAATATGTCAAATTTAAAGAATGAAAAAAAACAACTCTTTTCTCCTTAAAAATATGCTTAAAAGTTAAAAGGACTATGCCAGTAAATCTTCATCTCAGGGAAAAAAAAAAGTTTTTAAATCAATTCAATCTAATTTTAGGGCTAAGGACCTTTTAAAAATGTAATTGTATCTGCAGAGTATGTACTAAGACAAAACCTAACCACTGTCTTAATTAAAAAAAAAAAAAATTAAACCCTTTAAGAAGGTAAGGCTGACATGCAGACTTGACCACAGTACCCTGTCGGAGCACACAAAAGAAATGGGTCATAGGATCTTCTACATGCAGCACATTCCACTTCACTACACCGAGACTTGTTATAAAAGCATTTCCCTGGAATTTTTGGAGTGCTTTGCAACTGACAAGCAGCTTTATGTTGGCTAGAGGCGGGTGGGGGTGGATAAAGAAACTGAAGAAAGCTTCTGAGTCCCAGATTTTATAACGGCTCTGGGATGGATTTTAAGTAAAAGGAGTCGTGCATATGTTCCTTTCTCTTAGATCACAGTCCATCTGGAGAGAAACAAGGACCTATGTAAATTGAAAAGCCGAACCAGTAAACACAAAGTGATCCAATGTAGCAACATCATCGACCTTGTAGCTGTTAATCAGCCACTAACTGATGTTGCTGAGGACTGGAGCCAAAAGCCAAGTCCAGGCATACAGTGGTGCTGCTGGCAGCTCAGAACCCAAGGAGAAAACTTCCTCCTTAACTGGGCCTGACTGGGCTGAGACTGGACTGCGTAAGGGAAGCCACAGCACTCAAACTCTAAAACATAAAAAAGCCTCCTCAATCCAGCCATCTTCCCTCTACTACCCATGTTCATGAATAACACCTAAAATAAAGGAGGCAAAAACATGCATAACACAACTATAGCCTTAAAACTGACCAAATAGTCCACTGAAGTTCCTATGAATATTTTCAAAATTTTTCAAGCTGAATCTTATTTAAATACACACATACACACATAATTGTATGGATAACTTCAATACCTAGTCCCAGTTCTATGCTGAATTTTTCTCTGATTTGTGAAATCAGGTTTAATCAGTTATGTTTGCTCTGAAACACGTCAGACATTTAAAAAACAAAATGAAAAGAAGAAAAAAAGATGACAAAAAAGAAATGAAAAGAAAGGAAAGGGAAGATCCTATCCAATGGAGCTCTTGGAGAGCGTCAGTAAGGACATTTACATCTGTGGTCTAAGGAAAGTCACTGCTCATGAGATTAGAAAGAAAAGAAGCTAAAAGTCTGGGAGAGAGGAGGTGGAACAAGGAAAGAAAAGAGGAAAAGAGAAGTATGTGCTAGCTTACAAAGAATAAGAACTACTAGACAAACAGAAATCTTAGAAAGCAAGCAGATTAGGCAGGCAGAGGAGAGGAAACAGAATGAAAAAGCCAGGATAGCCCCCCACCAAAAAAAAAGAAAGAACGATAGATAGATAGATAGATAGATAGATAGATAGATAGATAGATAGATAGAATAGAGAAAGGCTGAGAGGTATCTGCAAGATAGACACTTCTGTAAAGGGGTACCTTTGTGTTCCTGGGCCCCACAACTCCAGCTCTGTATGTTGTTGGAGAACCCAACTCCTAGCCTTTACTTCCTGTGGCCTCTGGCTACATAAGGATTCATTTATTTAAAAAAGTGCTACTCTTTCCAGAAAAAAAAATACAATTTAGTGAAGAACTGGCACAGAGATTAACACATAAATCAGGTCAAAATGAGCAAACATATACAAGGGAAACACAAACCAGTTTCCACAGCACAGTCAGAACTGTATTTGGAGAGAATTAAAGGAAGAAGGGTTGAACTGAAAATGTCTCTAGAGCTTTTATGGCTCTGGTCTGGAAGGGGTTGGCCTCCACAGATGCTACTCAGGCCCTGATAAGGACATGCTGCACATTAAGGCCCTGCCCATTCTCCAAAGAGCGGCTGTCCATAATATCTTGAGGGGAGGGCCTCTGCTGACTCAGCTGTGGATTGAACTACAGGACCCACAGGGTCATTGAAATTCCTCCTAGATTCACTAGAGAGAAAGAATGAGGTGTACACAGACATGCAAACAGAAGTACAGGAAAAAAGCAGGGATGAGATCTCTCTGATGGGCTCTCCAATGGGTAGATAGGTGCTGACACACATAAAAAGTGGGGTCGTGGACACAGAGATGGTTGGATTACATAGAGTGAGAGCTTTGCACAAGTATACTCACCCTCACAGTCCACTGCCCTCTCTGGAGTCTGAGTCCTCTCTCTACTTCTACAAATCCTCCAGAGCCCAATGCTTATGCCAGGGAGACCCAAGAAGCAACTCCAGCTTTACCTATGTGAACTTTTGTCAATCCTTTTGTCTCTGACCTCAGTATCATATTCTATATAATGGGTGTAACTGAAGATCTGGGTAACACTCAGATAGGACACTGGTTAAAGAAGTCCTTTATACTGATACAGATGTTCAGGAGAAGGAAACATCTTAAGGGATGCTATTGCACTGATGTGAATGATGAACATGTTATAGGGGGAGGGGCAACTGTGAACTCATAAGCCTATTTCCTGGCAGTACCTGACCCTCCTCACAGAACTGATCCTGCTGGGAATCGGGGACTGAGCAGGGGCAGGAAGATGAGGAGGTGGGACTTTTCCCAAGCCCTTACTTTTATCCCAGCCATCTCCCAGGATTTATTTGCCCCACCCCACCCTTACTGCCCAGAAGTCGGGCACCAAAACAGACCTATACTGTGAAAGCAAACAGCCTTAGGTGCCAGAACCAAAGCTCCTAAAGAAGCTGAGAACTTGAACCAACTTTGAAAACCAGCCTGGCTGGGGTCCAGCACTCATTGTGCTTCCAGGGAAATTGAAAATGGAAAGCTGGGATAGACTGAAGGCCAGGGCAAGGAGGCAAAGACATTAGCGGTTGTTAACCAGCACCTGAAAGCTACCTGCTCCATGCCGATGCAAGGAGACCATGGAGTCTTATGCTATCTCCCCAAGGGCTGGGGCACCACCTCTGAGCAACTCAGTGCTGGGCAGAAGGAAGCAGCAAAGGCCTGTGAATTCCTGTCACCAAGGAAAAGAAGCCAGTCCTCCCCATCTTCTTCCCCAGTCACTTCTTGACTAAGCCAAGAGCTTGCAGCTCTCAGCGTATTACTCCCAATTCATTTGTTCTCCATTCACTTTGTAAGACCAGACCTTCTCCAGAGCCAGGCTCAAGTCTGAGCAGGAAAAGACTGCGGAGGTCGCTGAGGTCACTATGAACTAGAAACCTTTTGAGCACCAGCTCCAAACCGTGAAGAATCGTTTGGGCAGGCCGGAGGAGAGCAAGTGGCTTTCCTGACCAAACTGCCCCGCTGTTTTTGAGAATTACCTCCATATTGACACAAAGAAAAATTGACCTGCCTGTAGCCAGCCCCACTGCCTTCCCCTCCTTGCCAGGCCATTGGCCAGGCCACTCAGCTTGGCTCTCTGTGTAAAACACAGACATTCTCAGCCCCGGAAGCTCCTCTTCTCTCCAACCGGGTCTCTGCTGCCTTTGTTAAATAAGGGACCCTTGACTAGGGAAGCCAGACCCCATACTGTCTGAGGGAAGCAGAGCTTGCAGAGGGCTCCTAACCCAGGAGCAACTCCCTGACCTGCAGCGCAAAGAGATCGGAACCTGGCATCCGACTGAAGGCTGCTAAAGCCTGGCGCTTTCCCCAGCCTGCTTTCCAGCCAACAGAAGGGAAACGTGATTCGTTCCGCTTGGAATTTCCTTGAAATCTCCAAATCTAATCCGGCAGTAACTCACCGTGAGAGGAGCACTCATATCACTGAAGGCTGTGCTAAAGGGTGAACTGGCAGGATCCCTTGTGTGAGGCAACCAGGAGGGCCTTGCCCTCTCCAAAATGACCATTCCCGTCTCCTACACACTCATCGGCTTTCAGAAGGCAGAAGTGCCTGTGTGGTGACTAATTGGCTTCTCTCTCTCTCTCTCTCCCTCTCTCTCTCTCTCTCTCTCCTTTCTTTCTAGGAGGGAGCCATCATGAACCAGGCATCCTACAGAGAAGGACCCAAAGAGATCCTTAAAGGATCCTTAAGGCTCTCTCTTTGAACTGGCAGCCTTCTAAGCTGAAGATTAACTCAGAGTCCTCGACTTCGTTGATTTTTCAAACCCTTCTCAACTCCAGGTTGCCTTTGGAGCCTCGGACCTCTTGTCTTCTCTTAGTTCTCAGCACCTTCCTTCGCACATTCAGGAACTGGTCAGGGATCCACTTTCCCTCCAAGTACTAGTCTTGATCAGACCCCTGACTGAAAAAAGGCGCCATCAGGACTGGAGTGTGGGACACTGTCTGAGAGTCAGACTGACCTCTCACTGTAACTTCTTGCCCTCCAACTGGAGCAGCCCTAAGCCCTGTATAAGTCCTGAGGCAAGGTTTTGCGAATGCTCTGAGTTGTCGTTGCTAGAGCCAGGGAAAGGCTGCAGCTGACTGCCTAAGCTAGGGTTGCTGGAGGCGGGATTCTCAGACCAGGTGTTCTGGCAAGTGCGGCCAAGCGCATTGTTCCATGTCCCCTGCCTAGGAGCCCTTGCACTTGGCAAAGTTGGCT